CGATTTGTATGCATATTTATATTTTTTAAGTTCAGAAAATAATATTTGAATCATAAAAATAAGATTTCATGACGAAATTGGACGTATAGTTTTGAAATTATCGGTATTTACTATCTGCTGTCTGCTGTTTGCTGTCTGCTTCCCGACTGCTTCCCGCTTAAGCTGATGCAGCCGCGGTCTAAGGCGTCAGGATCCGAACCCAAAGGTCCAAGGTTCGAATCCACCTAGGTAAGGTAAAGTAAACATCTTTAATATGTGGGAAGTTGGGTGTAAACATCTGCCCCAAGGGGAATGAACTAAATATTTTCCAGATTTGCGATAGGTTGGAAAAGAAAAGCATTTTTGGCGTTTCATAACACGTTCTTAATTTTCAAAACATGTTTTGAATTTTAAGAAACTTTTTGTTCTTAAATTTAAGAGCAAATTTGTTTTGTAAACTGCTTCAAAACATGTGTTATTAAAATTAAGATGGATTTTTTTTACAGTGATGGTCCGGGTAGTTCTTTTCGTACCGGCGCGGGGTGCGTTGCCTACTCCTTCTTTCCGATGACAGTCCATGGTAGTCGATCGCTGGGAGCCGATCGATGGAAGCGAATGACCGTCGATGGCGGCCGATGGCACGAGCCATCCACCATCCATTCATATTGCTGCACGTGCCGGGGAGCCGGGCCACCGCTGAGCGCGAAAGGAGGTCAAAGAGGGACTTACCAGTCGTCCGTCTTGTTGTGCAGCTAGGTACGTATGCACGCCGGGCCGAGCGCGGCCCTTCTTAACAAGTGCGATAGAGCAGGCTGGAAGAGAACTCTTCTTGGCGACAAACTCGACGTTCGGTTCATCTCGCAGCACACATCATGTTGGTTTTGTGTTCCCAACAATAAAGTGAAAAGTTGCATAGCGTCCTTGCGATATGGCAGTGGGCACCAGCCACTCTCCTCCTTCGAAAACGTCGAACAGTTCTGTATAAAGATCGATTAGAGTTCTCCGAAACGAACGCGCGTATGGGACAAGCCGGAGGAGGCTGAAAGGCGTGACTTAAGGGAGGAATAGGAGGCTCCAGTTCGGTAAAGTGAGCCCCCACCATGTTGTTTCGAAGTTGAAGGAGAAAAGGACGCGGCCGCAAAAGCTTGCTTTAGGTTACTTCAGCTTCCCTTTAGCTCGCTTTA